ACTCTGCAGGAGAAAGATGTAGCAGTCTGCTTCTGTAAAGATCTACAGCCTTGGAAAAGAAACCCTATGGGGCAGTTCTACTCTGTTCTATAGGGCCGCTATGAGTCAAAATTGACTAGTCGGCAAGGGAATACCTGTGGATGTAATCCCATTTGGGAACAGAGTTTTCTTTGTTATGTTAATGAGATCTTATCAGTGTAGGGTGTGTTATAAACTTAATCACTTCTGAGTTATAAGGGCAGAATAGACAAAGAAGAAAGCACGTGAGTGAAGATAGACTCTGTCTCATACTGACGGAGGCAAATGAGTCTATAAACCCAGGCACTCAGGATTGCCGGCAACTAGAAGCTGAAATAGACAAAGAAGGACTGCCCCCTAGAGCCACACGCTGAAGTTGGACTTCTAGCCTCCTCAACTATGAGAAAATAAATTCCTGTTCTTTAAAACCACACACTTGTGATATTTTTGTTTCAGCAGCACTAAGGAACTAAGACAGATAGGTATAATTATAAAAATGTTTTTGGGAAGGGAGGTGGAAAGTTGAACGAGATCATGCCCAATTACTTCAATTTTTTCCCATGAAATAAGAGCCAAAGTCATCTAGTGATTTGAGAGAGGTGCGAAAGTTTCATTTGAGGTAAGTGATAGAGGTTTGGAATGGTCATTGTGAGAAATAAGAAGCAAACTAATCAAGAAGTAGAATAAATTGATGGTTTATACTGCGGGCTCATTTAAGAGCAGAAACTATGTTCTTGTGGTATTTTGAAAATGATGGGGAAGGATTAGGACACTTCCTTGAGGGTATCAGGTAATCATCTAGTGGAAGACAGAAGTTCAACTCTCTTTCACAATTGCAAAAGACTGTCATCTACCTCATCAGCTACTAGAGATTATATATTTTTGATTTAAAAAGTTTATTAGTAAATATTTGGTGTTTTGCTGTGTATTATACCTGCTGAACAAGATTATGTCTAGTATTATGTATTAGGGCCTGAACCCCAATTAATGTTAGGCGTGGTTTCTCTGGGATCATTCAGTAAAGTAGAAAGATTCTATTCTAGAGAGATGAAGTAAAGATTTATCAGATTCATTTTATTCTCCACCTGGCTAAGTATAGCAGAAGGAAGTTGACAGTACAGTACTACAAGTACTAAAATTTTCAATAAACAGTTTTTTAAGAAGCTTAACCTTACAGTTAAGGAAACGAAAATTTATTTGAAAGTAGGACAAAATTTTTATCTAGTACATAGGCAAAGATTTTTTTGAAAGGACAAAACACATTGATAGTTAGAATATGCTGAAGCATATTTGACGTACAAGTTGATTCCATCTTTCTTGGCAAGCCATTTGACAATATATGCCAAAAAGTCTTTATACTTTGTCTAGTATCTCTTATTCTATGAATTTATTATTAAGGTATAATCAGAGAAGTGCAGAAAGATTAATGCACAACAAGCTTGATTTATAGCAGAATTATTTATAATAAAAAAGCAGCAATAATCTGAATTCCAACAATAGAAGAATGGCTAATAAATTATGGTACGACAAAATCATCTTTCAAAGGATTTTCAATGACATGAAGGCAGGCTGAAAGTTAAAAAGCAGAACAAGATCCCAAGTCTGTTTTTGTTTTTTTAGGTTTAAAATTTTAAATATATGTTTATAAAATCTAAAGCATTTATATAAATGACTATAAAGAAATGTGTCAACATATTAATGGTTATTATCTATGGATGGTAGAATTATGGGTTATTGTTATTTTCTGTGCATTTTTATTCTGAGTGTTCTACAAGAAGCATATGTTATTTTCATAATAAGAATACAAATATATAAAAAGAAAAATAAGCTTAAAGGAGGAATGAATAAACCATTCACTTTCTCTGTCCTATGGAATAGATGACTTGGACAAAAAAGGAGGCTGGGAGGGAGACAACTCTAACCTGCCAGAAGTGCACGTTTGATGTTGACTTTGATAAATTTCTTATTCGAGATCATACAACTTTTTTTTTTAGTGCTTCACTTTATTAGGATCTATATGTTAGTTTATAATGTGCACCATATTTCGAGATAGTCACCTGAATGTTTTAAATTTTTTATTTTGGAACAATTTAAAATTTATGATAAAGTTGCGAGAATAGAATGAATAACAAAAGTATGCCGTTTGATACTTTGAATAAATAAGAATCGATTCAGACAATTGTAGGGTCGTTCTCTGTTCCTCTTTTGCTTAGGAAAGTAATTCCCACTTTTGTCTGACAAGGTAACTCTAAGACACTGTCTGTGTAAACAGAGATGTTCTCCTGTGGCCGTTCACAAATTAAACAATGTTAAAAATTAAACTTTATTAATCACTAAATGTTAGGTCTATTATTAATTGTGGAAAAATACTCTTTCTCTTTAAGGTGATGATTTGAAAGACACTTCAACCATGGAGACAAATTCTTCAAAATCAAAAGCGTCTGTCAAATTCAAGACTATTGCAAAGAGGTCAGTTACATTCATTCGTCAAATGTGTTTAGTACCTACTAGCTGCCAGGCCCTCAAATAGTCACAGAATTACTTGTCAGTGAACCAATACTTTTGTGATTTTGTAATATCAACTCCACTTAAATTTATTTTATTCCAATTTAGAGTGCTTTATATATCCAAAACAAGATTACCAATCATGATGCCAATTTTTGAAAAAATAGACATTATATGAATATGTTGGTCCAGACTCTGTATATACTTGAGAAAGGAATAAAATTGACATGAATTTACTTCATGAATCATTTATGAACTGTGAAATGTTGAACCAGTTACTAAATATTTTAAGCTTTGGTTTTCTGATTTATAAAGCTGGAATAATAGTGTGATGTGCTAGATGTGTAGCATAGCGTCCGGTACATAGTAAGTCCTCATTAAATTATAGCTGTGGAAATTATTCTGTATTTGTTCTGCTGTTTTGTACAACAGGACAGTTACTTTCTAGGCCTTCCTACATGTCATTATAAGTCCCTGAGACATTCAAGTCACCTTTGCTTTTGAATGATAGAACATTTCTACTCATCAACTCTGCCTTCCAGTCCATTCACTTCTATACATCTTGACTATCACCATTATAGCTCAGAGCTCCATCATTTCTTGCCTATGTGATTGCAATCATCTCCTAATTGATTTCCCCAATAATACTCTTTACTCTTATTGTCCATTCTCAACATAACAACCAGATATTATTTTTATTTTTTATTTAATAGTGAGTAGCCATAAAAGAATATTTATACAATACACATAAAATATAAATAATGATACCATAAACTTCATATACACACTACCCAGTTATATAAAAAGCATATTATTTATCTTTGAAGTCCCCTGTGTGTCATCCTAAATTTTATACAATCCCATCATCTGAGATAACCACTGTCCTCAATTTTGCATTGAGTAATATATTCCTGAACAACATATTGTTTAGCTTTGCATGTTTTTGAATGTTAAATAAATGCACTCATTCTGTATGATCTTTCATTTTTTGCTCAACATTACGTCCCTCCGATTAATCCATTGTACATGTAGCTGTGCTTCATCCATTTTCACTGCTCTCTAGTATTTCGTTACACAAGTATATCACAATGTATTTATCCATTCTACTATTGATAAACATTTAGCTTATTTTCAATTTTTTGCTTGTAAGTAGTACTGTGATTAGTATGGTTATACATGTCTCCTGGTACATACATTCAAGAATTTGATCTTTTTTAAAACATAAATTAGATTTTTTTTTTTCTCTGCTTATAGCCATTTAATGATTTGTCATTACACTGAGAGTGGGGAAAAAAATAGGCACAATTTGAACAGCTCCTACCCACCTTTCCAGGCTCACCTTCTGTCTGTGCCTCAATGACACTGTTTTGTTTGTTTGTTTTTCAATTCCTCAAATAGCCATTATCTTTTGACCTCATGCTCTTAGCACATGTATTCCACCTGCTCAAAAGGCTCTTTCTCTTACATCTTGCCAAATCTCGCTCATTCTTCAGGTCTCAATTTTACTGTTGCTTATTCAAAGATAAGAGGTTTTCCCTGACTCCAACAATCTTAATTAGTTATCCTGTATTATTATTCTTCATGGCACTCTGGACTCTTCATTCTTTGCACTTACCATGGACTCTTCATTCTTTGCACTTACCATGGGTTAGCATTATTTTTTTTGTGTCCTGGGAAAGTGATCATGTCTGTTTTGTTAGAGTAACTGATACATAGTAATCATTCAATAAATACTTGCTGAATTCTGGAAATTCTAGAAATTTCAAATAGAATTGTGCACATGCATTATAGATTAATGATTGCTAATAAATTTTAGTTCAATAATATATTTTTAAGTTCCTCGTAATTTATAAATAATTTTATGATAATGTTAAATCCTGAGCTATTCAAAATGTCTTGAAATTGGGCCCAAACCTCTTGTTCAGCCCCATCACTATCAGTCCTATCACTATAGTAATTTGAGGGTTCTACAGACCAGGTATGATCTGACTTGACCCATATTGGGGAAGACTCTCCCCAAGTTTCACGCATCCTGGCATTAGCTAGGTTGAACTAAATCAACTTCTAGGAGTTGGTTCAGAGTAGGACCAAATGAATGCCTGTTTCCTTAAGTCTTTCTACATAAAATGAGATCATATCCTTTCCCAAAGGAAAAGTTAACTCTCAGCTAATAAATTGACTTAAAGTAAAAGTGAATCATATCTCCTAAATAAATAAAATAAAGACTGAGTGCAAATTTCTTAAACATTAGTTACTTTAAAAATAAAGATCATAGCAGTGTGTAATTTATATGACTATTATCAAAGGAAAAATTACACATTAACTCTAAAACTTACATGTTGATACTTGACTCTACTAAAATTTTTAATGATGAAACTTTGGCATGATATTGAAATAAATTAATGAATTGTTTTATAAAAATTTTAACTCTCACCCTTCCATACATGTCTACTCTAGGGCTAAAAGTACATGGTATTTGGAGAAAAATCCTGATAGATTAACAACAATGATTCAAAAGCTTTTTGTGTTTGCATTTACTTGGGCATTTGGAGGAACTTTAAGACGTGAAGATGAACATGAAGATGATATACTATTTTGCTCAAGTTTTGAACCTGATTCTCTTGCAAAAGTAACCTATGACTTTGACAACCTTGTTCGTGAATTATTTGAAAGCAATTCACAAGGAGGTAAGCTCAAATAAGTATGCTTAGACTTTTAACTAAAAACTCTTTATGGTTATAAAG